TATATCGAAAAATTTTAGAAATATATGTATGTGTGTGTGCATATATATATATATTTTAAATTTATCAGAATCAGAGGCGCAGTGCTAAGACTCCCGGACCCCCCTCCAACACCGCTGCCCCAGGTCTCCCTGGGCAGCCACAGCTGGAGAAACAACAACAACAAAAAAATCCCCAAACAACAACAAAAAAAACAAAAGGAAAATACCCCAAACTGCCAGTCCCGAGCTTTTCTTGCCACTTTCTCCTCGCTAAAATGAACCCCCCAAAATTCCCCCCCGTATTGCAGCACCGGTATCTCAGCTGATGCTCAGGAGCTGCACCATCTAATATCTTTTCGTACGAGCCCGGCTAGCTCAGTCGGTAGAGCATGAGACTCTTAATCTCAGGGTCGTGGGTTCGTGCCCCACGTTGGTTTAACTTTTCATTATTTTTATTTTAATAGTTGCTTCATGCGGTCTTTATTTTTTTTTTCAGGAAAACCCAAATCAGCTGGTCTCAGTGGAGTCCCAAGCAGAGAAAGACTCTAGGTTGGCTCGTTGTTGTATAAAATGTTCCTTTTTGGGGTCTTTCCTGCGGAGTTCATCCCGGGTTGACGCCAGTTCTGGGCTCTGGGGGTGTTTCTCTGCACAAAGGGAGACTGAAGGGTCTGAGAACCCACAGGATCACCCCACAGAACGAATGACTCCGTGTCCGGTCTCGCCGAGGAGCCGTGTTTGCCCAGGTGCGAGCAGAACCATTGTTCGCACCAAACAATATCCCCCGGCGGCTCCGAGGTCGTTCAGGTCCTGGGTCAACCCCAGCGTAAGAGAGGAATAAAGGCAGCGGGGACGCGTGGCCGGTGGATGCTCGGACCTTGGAAGGGGAAGCAGAGTCTGGTAAGGGACCCTCTTTCGGGGTTTTGTTTGGGGACTTTTCCACGTTTCGTGTCCGTTGGCACCATCCCAACGCATCCTCTTAAATCCCCCAGGGAAGAGCTTCTGCTTATTTGAACACCTTCATTTTTACCCTGATGAAATTGGGCATTTTGCTTAATCAGCAATAAATTTACGCTTTTTGGTGAGAAAAAGAATAGAAAGAAAATCATTTTTGCAGCCCGGCTAGCTCAGTCGGTAGAGCATGAGACTCTTAATCTCAGGGTCGTGGGTTCGAGCCCCACGTTGGGCGGATAAAATCCTTTCTTATTTTCTCCCCTTTATTTGCCCAAACCTGCCTGTTTCTGGGTACAAAAAAACTGTCGGTGCTGTGTCTAAGCAAGAGGTGGAAGCACCTGAGGAAATAAAGAGATGTGGGGGGGGATTTACTCAGAGATCATTTTCTTCACTTGGGGTTTTTTTTACCTCTACTTGGGAGGTTTCTGCCTTGAAAGCACGGATATGAAAATGAATAGAGCAGAAAGGCGGAATTTCCCATATTTTGGCTTTTGAAGGTGCTGGAAGATTGTCTAATCATTTGCTTCAAGTTTCTCTACTTGTTTTGCCCCAAAAGGGACATCACAAACATCTATATGATGAGGTTTTTTGTCTGACTGTGGTTGTTTTTTTTTTTTTTTCCCCCCTGCTAGAAGGCTGAGCACCAACAAAACTCATTACAGGAATTAATTAATTATCTGAGCCGTCCTCCTTCATAGGTCACCTTGGACTGAGGTGCAGCTGGGAGGTCAGGATCTGTCCCCTTTCCCAAGATGAAGGTGCTCTTCTTGGGGCTGACCCTTGCCCTGTGCGTCGGAGTCGGTAAGTGGAGGGCGGCAATTAAATGGGATTATAAATATATTTATAAATTAAATGGGATTTAAGAAAGGGCAGGATATGGACGTGTCTCGCCGAGCTTTTGATGTCTCCAGGGTGAGCTGGATGTCCTCTGCTCTGGGTCCGAGGTTAGCAGAGGGGAAGCCTCTGCAACCAGAGCCCCGAATTCACAGTTTCTTCTCCATCTCCTGCAGCTGAGACTCTTCAATGCAAAGTCTGCAAGTACAAGATCCCCTTCGTCGGGTGTTTCCGGGGAGCGAACGAAACCACTTGCGGGCGGAGGGAGAAATGTGCCATCATTAAAACCTCCCTGGGTACGTACTGGGGGGGTCAAACCCCTGTGTTCCCAGAATTT